TAAACTGTTGTCAGATATTTGGTTCCACATTGTCCAAGCCTTCATTATAAACATAATACAGAGAAAATGATTTGACATAGAGCAATGGCATGGTCTGCAGCAATGTCTTCACATTCACAAACAAAATCGGTGAAATGAAGTCTTTTTTTGTAAAAAACGCCATCAGATATCAAATGTCAATGATCTGAAAATTCATTTGAGAGACTAGAGCGAGTTTGAATTATTGTTTCAGTTCAATAACTTATGTCTTTCATATTTGAATATTTTATTTTTGCATGCCGATCAACTATTTGACCAACATATTTTATCCGAAATTAATTTTTCATTTCAATTAACATCAAAAATAACAATACAACAGCAGCTGATTGAATCATTATATAATAATTTCCGACATTCCGGTTTTATTAGAAAATCATTTTCAAGATTGTTCACAAGATACGAATTTAAGAAAAACTGATTGGAGTATTTATATAGTATAAAATTGGGTAACTCTACACAAGTTCTGAAAAAGAAACTGACGCAGTTTTTAGTAAAAATTCGGCACAATATAGGTTTGCGGTTTGTTTCAAGGTCTCCACCAGCAATACAGTCCTTCTTTCAAATGAAAGATAGGATTCTAAAATATCTCCAGTGGTATAATTTATCTGGCCAAATGTAGGAACTGTGCGGACACTTACGTGGAGAAAACAGAATGCCAGGTCTTCGTAGACTCAAGGAGCGCGGTGCCCCTAAAGATTTGTTTCAATAAGATGGTCTCAGTATACTGTGGGATGAAAAGTCTGATTAAGATGTAGAAATAGATGCTCTAGAATCACGGGATGTAATTGGTCCTATAAGAAAAAAACATCGAGTTGTTATAACATCATATTCATCAAGTCCAAGACCATCACCCAGAATACGAAACCAGCAGTTGTTATTAACATCTCAAATGAGCTTGACTCAACAGCTCATTACTCAAACTTCTAACAAAGTAGGCGATTCATATGATATAACGAATAATGAGCTAGAAAAACTAAAATTATCATTGGGACAACGCGAGAAGGATACAGGTCATACTAACTAAATTTTGAACTCATCTGCACAGACAGTAATTCATATCGTTTATTGATCAAAGAGAGTTTATGTATTAAATCGCTTGAATCTACCTTGAATTGTACAACACATTCTGTGCCGATGATAATATTTCCAGAAGGATTACCAAACTGTTGTTTTCCTGTAGATCGTGGAAAGGAAAGAATAGAACAGAAAAATGACATCATTATGAACTATGACTTTTGCTCTACAGAAAAGACAGGAAAGAACAAGGTGAGAAAGGGAAGGAACAGTATAGAACAATTCTAGAACAATTTTATACTGTATAAAATACTCCAATTAGTTCTACTTATATTTGCATTTTGTAAACAACCTTGAAAATGATTTTCTAATAAAATCGAAACATCGGAAATTATTACATAATGATTCAATCAGCTGCTATTGTATTATTATTTTTGATTGAAATTTTACCCTTGAAAGAGGAAAATGTCATTTAATACCGTTCAGAATAAAGAATATATCGTTTGTGAATGTGAAGACATTGCTGCAGACCATGCCATTGCTCTATGTCAAATCATTTTCTCTGTATTATGTTTATAATGAAGGCTTGGACAATGTGGAACCAAATATCTGACAACAGTTTATTATCTGATACCTGGTAAACCTTAAAAAGTTCATTTTAGTATCCATTCTTCGAGCAGGTTTACGTGAGCTCAGATTCAGATAAGCATATATAACGGTGAAAGATATGAATACAAGAATATGATGATGAAAAGAATGCCAAAGCAAAACGTTCTTGTTCGTTGAAACGTGTTGATAATCTTTTTAGGACAATACTAGATCAAAGTTATATTAACAGACTTATCAATATCTTTTTACTGATAGTATAAAAAGACAACAAGCAGGTAATGTGGATAGTATTGTCTATAAACTGTTCGTTACTATGGTTTGTGGACTGATGTTTTAGTGTATCTACTATAGTGACACAAACGTATCAGAAACTTCAGTGTGCTCAACAGCAATTCATATGAAATTCAAGCTGAAAAGATCAAAGCTTTTATCTACAAAAGAGAAATTTTTCGGCTTTCCAAGGGCATCATCACTACCCAGATCGTTGATTCCGGCGTCAGGATCCTGACGGAACGTGTCGGATCCAACATTGGAACATGCCGGAAGTTGTCAGAATTCGGTAAAATCCGGCAGCAACCGTGCCGGATTATGCCAGAAATCCGTTGCTCGAAATCCGTGCCGGAAGATGTCGGAAAAGATCCGACCGGATCCGACGTCTTCCAGCATCCTCCGACCGATAAATCTGATTTTGTTGGATGTTACCAGTTTTGAGGCTAAAAATAGTCTTCAATTTTTTCTATTCATTTTCTAATGGTTCTTTTCTTTGTTTATTCGAAAGAGTGGAAGGCCCGTGGACGTGTACAACACGTCCGTTGAACATTGTAAGCGATGCTTCACACCGTTAAGAATTTGAGAAGAGCAACTTCTCATGTTTCATTTTCTGCAGTGTCGTATTTAAAGTGCTCCTGTCGTGAAACAAAACGGTGCATATATTATGTGTACAAGAAAGAAAGAAAAAAAAATAAAGTACACATCGCAGGATCCGTCAATTTCCGCTCATCGGAAGTTAGCGGATCCGATCTCCGGATCCTCCAGAAACCAAATATCGGAACGCGAAGGAATTGAGCAGATTCCTATCTCCGGATCCGGTCGGGCGTCCGATCTCCGGAAATCACCGGAATTAAAATGATCCGACAGGATCTGATCGGTCGAATTCGATCTGGGTACGTTGTAAAAAATATAGCTGTATAGCGAATATCTTTGTTCCTGGGCCGAAAAATTTCTCTTGGTTCAAAATTTCATTCATGAACTGCCGTTGAGCGCACCGAAGTTTCCGGTGCATTTGTGTCACTATAGCAGATACACTGAAGCATCAGTCCACAAATCATGGTAACGAAAAACTTAATTGAATTATTTGCAAATCGTGGCGATAGGTGTGATGCACATCACACCTGCATTTTGATTTTGATCCATTTTCCAAATCAAAAGGGTTGTTCCAGATTTTTCTCGTCTGGCAACTTCAATACTTTTTGACTTGCATTGCAGTTTTTCCCAACTGTTAACAAAATTTTTCGCATAGAGAAATACTGCATCTAAAACAAATCGGTCGTAGGTTTTGTGAAATGACTCTGATAATGTACTTATTCACAACCGAACATGGGTACAAGTTATAGATGTCGCTCGGAATAATTAATTTAACATAGTTTTAATTCTACTTTCTTTCTAATTCGATTGTTTACAAAGCTTGTGACAGATTTTAACTAAAATACGAGGAGAAAAGTAATTCTCACGTTTGACAGACGTGTTCGTTCAGAGACGGTTTACTATTGAGAGAATTTTGCACTAATAACAAATAGCCATTGAAATACTAAAATAGAAACGCTACAAAATATAGGTAAATAAATAAATAAATATATATATAATATTCTCTAGCCATCTAAGTCAAATATAATCGGCAGCTGACGGTTAGGACCAAGTTTTGAAAAAGCAAACTGTTAGTTGTAAAATGCACGAAATGACACCATCATGACAAGGCGATTATTGAGTTTCCTGTGATCTTCCTTATGAGAATAAAATATTTTTCTGAGGAATTTCAGTCAACTGCTTCATAAATGACAACGCGTGAACGTAAATTCGACAAAAAAATTTTTTAGCAGCGCATCTGAAAAAGATGGTAATTTCTTAATATTTGTGACGAATTGATAACTCCATATTCGACAAATTAGAGTTTACTTTCTCTTGTTTTTTTTTAAAATTGGGCGATCTTCGTCGTGAAACATTGACTGCTGTTGTAAACTAACTAAGTCTAAAAATTGTTTAATTGTTAGATAATAGGTGTTCTGAACAGTTCTGTTTTTATATTATGTTTAGTCTTAAACCCTTGAAACTCGATTGATTCTGTGAAACGTAAATCTTTCGAATGAACATATTTGTCTGTTCTTTATATAACTGTGCTAAATAATTTTTTTATTGCATTTCGTTGACGAACTTTAAGTATCACCCATACAGATATTAAGAAAATATGATGCAAAATAAATAGTTATGGATTAAGTTTAGCAAATGTAAAATTCATCCGATTGAGTAACAATCAAATTCTATCTTTTAGATAATAATCTGTCATTTAATAATGGATCTTGTGTTAATAGCTGCTGTACTTGTTGTTATTATTGTCATAGTCGCTTTATTGTTCCTAAGAAGTCGTTCGACTGGAGGTTTGCTCTTCTGTTTCATTTATTGCATTGTTCATCTACTTGTGTTACTTTTTATTAGCGCAGAAAAATAATGTTCGAGATCTGAACCGTACACTAAATCACAACAATGCAGATCTTCCACGAGCAGCCCAAGTTCGTCGTCGAAGACGCTTTGAACCGACTCATCGATTAGAGCAGAATGAAGACGATGATGATAGTAAGAATATGTCAAAAAGGAAGTTGCTGGAATAATCCTTTAACTGATGTTCTTCCTTGCAGTGGTGAAGGTTAAGATTATAGTGAGTATGAGAACATCTGCTAACGGACTACCGGTGATTCTTCCTTGAATTACGTTAATGCAGGTCTATCATGGTTTTATATGTTAATTTAATTTAGATACTTTTAATGACAATAACGAAGGATCGAACTTTTTGGATGATATGGTTGAACCAGATGGAAAAATTGGAAAAAAAAAACAAATGAAGATACAAGCAAAAGCTGAGAAGAGACAACAACGTGAGGTATATAACTATCTTCTTCATTTAATTCGATTTGGACAATTGATTTTTGTTCTTTTTAGCAAGAAATAGTCGAACGTCGTGAAAAGAAGGAACGAGATGAACGTGCAGCAGAAGAAAAGAGAAAGAAAGAATTAGATGAGGAACAAAAAGAAAAAGAACGGGTATGTCGAAAAAGTATCGACCAACAAGAAGTGCTCGTCTTAACAAAACATGAGTATGAAATGTCACCTGATTTACTACAAATGAACAATGCGGTTGCTTAATATTCATACGTAAAACATTCTTTTATCTTGACGTTTTAGGAAGAAGAAGAACGACGGAAGAAAGAAGAACAAGAGCGAAAAGAATATGAAGAATATTTAGAATTGAAAAAGGCTTTTACAGTTGATGATGAAGGACACGACGAAAATCCGAATGAAACTGATGTGAGAACTTGTATACTTGAACATAATCGCCATTTTTTTTTCATTATGCAATAGTTGTTATTTATTTGATGTTTATTCTATTTTGAACAGAATGAATCGTTGTTAAATGCGTTCGTTGAGTATGTTAAATCAGCTAAAGTGGTGTATCTCGATGAATTAGCATCTCAATTTAAATTACGCACACATGTAAGTCAATATCATTCAAAATAAACTTTCTTACACTATACATATTTTTGTTTGTAGGATGTCATTGATCGTTTAAAATATTTACAAGATATCTCAGTAATTAATGGACTCTTTGACGATAGAGGGAAATATATTTATTTGACTCGTGAAGAAATGAATAATGTAACACGTGCTATAAGACAACGGGGAAGAATATCATTTAGCGATTTATCAAAAATTAGTAATGAATTAATTAATTTTGATGGGAAAAGAACTATTGATGACAGTTTACTTCAGAATGATAGTGAAGCACAACAAGCTTGAAATTGAGTATTAAAAACATATCGTGCAATTTCTGTGTATATTTTTTTTATGAACGTTATTCTCTTGTTCTTATTACATATATAAACAACGAATCGACGATCATCTTCATATATATTATGATATTTGATCAACGATAATAAAGAAACGACAAGACCATGTACAAACGGCAGACACTATTCGTGATCTGGTTGCGCCAATCAACTGTTGTTAATTTAGAGAACTAATTAGACAGCAGTATTCGACTCTTACACCGTTTTTATTACGCGTACTCGTTGAGATGATCTCCTTTTTATGAAATACATCTGATAAAGTTGTCAGTGTTTATTATCAATTATAAGAACAGTGAACAGAGTTATAATAACGGAAAATTATTTTCATACTTTAGAAATTTCTGCTAAATTCGTTTTCTCGTCGTCATGTGACTCATTTCTATAGATATAGCAAGAGATTAATTTTAATGTAAATTGATCCTCTCTGCAGCACATTGTTTGGTTTTTTCAATTAAGTGAAGCAGAACGTTTTCTCGTATGAATTGATTTGATGACAGAGCAATCTAAAACAAATACTGATTCCTATTAGATTTACCATTAATTAGACTTCTTTTAATATTAAACTTTAGTTCTAACTCTTAAAAGTAGCCTATTTTGTTCAGTTTTTTTTTGCACTCTTTCTGCTGATATAAAATTATTTAAGATTGCAGAATAAAAAATGGATAAAATATATAATAATATGCGTTTTATGCTTAGAGTTTAGGCTCGATTTTAGAAAAAAATCGTTACTCGATAATGAAACGGTTTATAAGACTTAAAGAATACGCAAAGCTGTATAGAGTATTAATATCGGTTTGCTAGCTGTAACTGAACTAAATGTATTCACTGCACTTAGACAAATATTTTTCTGAAGCATAATGCTAATATAAGTTAACAACAACAAGATTTTGGTTCAGAGATGACTGATGAGGGAAGGTCACCAACTGCCACCTCGCTTTTTAGCTCTAAGCTAGTGAGTAATAGGTAAAAAAATGTGCTGAATCCGAATATGACAATGGTTTGGGCCGCTGGGCCTCCAAAGACTGGGTTTCTAGAAAACCAGTTTTCCAGAAACTCCAGAAACTCTCCAAAACTTTTCTTAATAAGTTAAAATTGTAGCACGCGAAATTCTGATCAAAATGAGACATTGCCCAGCTCTACATGACATTTCTTTG